AATTATTTGATATTTTTAAAAACCATTTACTGAAGAACTATGAATTGCCTCTGAGAAATATAACTTATATCTACCAGGTACTTCTAATAGTCCCATGTCTCTCCTGCCATTCCTTTCCTCCAGTGGATAATCAGGGTCTTTAATTTTGTATATTTTTCCTTGTCTGTGCATACACACACCCTTGCGTGTGCCCATACACACACAGTTTATCACATGTACATGTGCTTAAATGATCTATTTATTAGCTTTACTTGTTTTACAACTTTTAAAGAAAGGTATAATGCTATATGTTGTTCTTTTGGACTTGCTTTCATTGCTTATGGTACTTTCAGGTACCTTTATGTTACCAGGATTCTTCCATGTGGTTGTGTGTATAGCTGTAGTTCATTCATTTTCACATATGTGTCATGGTGTTGCATTAGGAGAACATATTGCACTTTATCTGTGATTTTCTCATTGTTGAAATATTCATGTTTTTACCTTTTCTCTGTGTTTTGTATTATTTTTTGCTGTTTATTTATTTTTAATAACTGTAAAATTAAATAGTGAAACTTTCAGTCAAAACATTGGAAAACAGGAGAATAGGAATATGGTCCTGAGAGATTAAAAAAAAACACACAAACAACAACAACCCAAGAAACCCCACTACTACGTGACCCCTGGTTCTCTGCCTGGAGACAGTCTACCGACCTCCGCCAGGCATTTGGAACCCAGTAAAGCACAGTGGTCTTGCCGAGCTTGGGAAGCAGAGACTGGAATCATGGCTGTGGAACAGCTCACTTGCTGAGTGCTTACCGAGAGAAGAGGGCAACACAGAGAGGAGCACAGGACTTTGAGAGTGTTTTCCATCATCCATTGGACTGTGCTTGTGCAACTCTGCAAGGCCTGGTAGAGTGTCTGCAGTGAGTTTGAGGGAGACGTGGAGACACTACAGGTCACAGAGTTGGAAGATGCAGTCCAGTCCAGTTAGAACCTTTCCTAAGACTGGGCTTTAGACCTCCTTGAAGAAGGTATGGTTTCAGCCTACTGTATGGTGGAGAATTTCACTGGATTGTTGGACCAGAATTGGCTCATAGATTCCAGAGAGCAGAAAATAGCACTCTAGGGCTCAGATGTAGCTCAGGCTGCTGAGCGGGAACTTGGAGTGAGTTGGTGTCAGGAGCACACTTGTGCTTGATGCACAGTGGGTGAAATATATATTGGTTTGGACACAGAAACAACCATCTGGGGCACATGTGAGCACAGGCTGGCAGCGTGCAGTGGGAGGCAGGGATCCCCTGCTGAGGCAAGGCTTGGAGTGGCCCTGTGTCCATGGGAGGAAGACTGCAGCAATCTGGTCACTGAGTTCAGACTAGGGCTTTGAGGTCTGTGAGAAGGATTGTGCAGCAAGCTGCCGGAGCAGAGTGCCATCAGATGTTCTCTACACAGTCACGACTGACAGAGCATGCAGTAGAAGCCAGAAAAGTAAAATGTAGTTTACCAGGACCAGGAGGAGAAGCAGCCTTCTCCTGCAATGTCTTCAACTGATAAAAATTAGCATCATGCTCACTGTAAAGAAGAAATGCTTAAAATATTCAATCTGTCATCTCTGAGTGGGTACCAAGGGATAAATTTGAAGTCAAGAGACAGTTGTTTCATAAATGATAGAAAAAACTAGACCAGACCCACCCAACAAGGTCTAAAGCCAAGCCACAAAAAGATAAGGAGAGATGTCACTCAGTTACCTGCTTGCTAGAATTGACTCTCAATACTCCAGAGGAAAACAATGCAATTCAGATTCCTTAAATCATTTACTAGCCCGTCATACAACAATAAATTACTGGAAAGAAGCAGGAAAATGTGACTTCTGATCTAGAATAAAAGCTGTCACTAAAAACATACAATGAGATGGCAGTAATGTTGGAATTACCAAGAGAATAGTATCTGAAGTGAAAGCATTTACTGGATGCCCTTAAATGTAGACTAGAATTGGCAGAAGAAGTCAATGAGCGAAAATCAGAAACTTATTTTAACAAAAGGAAAAAAAATTGGGGGGAAAACCTACACATTTAAGAAACATAGTGAATCTCAGGATGAATCCAAAGGGAAAAACAATAAAATATGCATATATAATTATTCAGCTGAAAATTATTTGTAAAGAGAAAAGGAGATAGGGGTGAGAGGGGGAACATTTCATCCATAGGAGCAATAGGATGATGGCTGACTTCTCAGTAAGAAACAGAAGAAGTGGAGTAATATCTTGACCCATTAAGTCTCAAGTTTCCAATTCTGCAAACACAGCACAAATATTCAAAGTTACCATAATATATTTATTGCTCAATTTAAGTGTTTTTTTTTAAAGGATTGAGTCCAGGGGTGCTATCCCACTGAGCTATAACCCCAGTCTTTTTAGAATTTTTAAATTTTGAGAAAAGGTCTTGGTAAGTTGCTGAGGCTGGCCTCCAACTTGTGATCTTCCTGCTTCAACCTTCTTAATCACTGGGGTCACAGGTGTGCCTGGTTTCAAAATTTTTTATTGTTGTTTTTAAAATATTTATTTTATTAGAGTTTCTGGTTATACATACTAGTTCAATTTGCTTTTCTGTGTGTTCTAATAGGACAAAATTGGTTAAAGAAAAATTTAAAGAAGAAAAAAGGGTGAAGTAAAAAAAAAAGCCTTTTAATCTATATTCAAGCAAAAATATCATTAAAAAGTAAAGGTGAAGTAAAGACATTTTCAGATAAATGAGATTTAGGGAAGAAAAAAGTTTACAGAAACCTTCAGCTCCAGAACCCTTGTGGGTTCCTTTATGTGCTCAGATGCTCTTGGTGAGTGGCTAGGAAGGCTGTGAGAGCAAAGACCTGGCATTTTCATCCTTCCCAGAGTGAGGAAGCTTCTGCCATTGAGGAATAGGAAGATTAGGGAGATGATGAGTGATACTTGCAGAGACGAACAGCAGGGTTTGCCACATATGATTTAAATTACTTTTGTAATCAGAAAATAATAGTATTTGTTAGTTGGCTCATAGATACAAGTGAAGCAGAAAATAAATCGTTTGTTGTTGATTGACCATTTACAGACTCTTACAAGGCTTTCTAGAAAACCTTTAGAAATTGCCTTGTATTCCTTCAGACACCATGCTGACTTCTGGGCATCACAAGATAATACCTCCTGACCTAAGTCTGCCAGGGAGATAAACAGGCAGCTTCCTGGTTTTCAGCCCCCTCTTCTAGGCAGCATGTCACCTAGGATAGCCTGACTCCGAAGTCTGCATTCCTAACTGGAAATCTCTGTAGCTCGCTTGCTTTGCACCCTCTTGGTTAAAGGTTATTAATTTCTCAGGTTATAAGTTGACTCAACAATAGGCCTTCTATTTATTCATGTTGGTTACAATTTTTAAAGTAGTTCTCCTTGGAAAACCATTCACTAAAATGTAAATTGAAGTTAGTCGCCTATAGGAGAATGTTGATACCCTGTTTGTTCTACTCACATTTAATTTATTCATATAACCTATAGAAGTCTAAGAGGTGAGTTGAGTTTTCTGATAATTTTTATAAAATTCAATTAGAACTAGCTGCTGCCCACAGTATAGAGCATAACTAACCCCATAGTAAGGTGCTTAATTTGTGGGGGATGGGAGCTCTCCAGTTTCCTCTCTTGTTTTAAAACTACAAAAGGGTTTGGATTAAATGATTTGAACTTCCTAACATTAAAATTAAGTCAAGACATTCTCATTTTACCAATATTTTGGTGTTTGAGAGATATTTAATGAACAAATCAAGTTCATTTAACTCAGTAGAAGCAGCTTCTAATATTCATGAGGTAGAAAATATTTTTCCTTGAGTTGCAGAGTAATTAATTGATACTAAAAGTCTGCTTGATCCCTAGGTAAAATTTCTGAATCTGAATTAGTAGAGGCCATTGATGTGTCTTCTGTGTGGGAACAAAGGGGAATGACCAGAATTTTCATGAAGAGCTGGACTCGAGGGTGGGTGGAAGAAGGTGTAGCATGCACCTGTGTGTGGAAACCAAGTCTGTTAGCATCATGTTTACCATCTTGTTCATAAAGAACTAGCACAGCTCAATGCAAGTCATACCAGTGCTCAAGTAGAACAAGATTCAGTTACAGGAGCTTGGGGTTCTCTCTGTTCAGCTGTCAAATGGGGAAAGAGAACCACCGTAGTGCTGCGGGGCCTTTATGGGCCACATTTAGAGGTACTACATATGACTTTGGCTCTGTTCTTTGGCCAGAATTCAGCCATATGGTCACACTGCCAGGGAGGATGGGAGTGGTATAACTGTGTATTCACAAAGAAGGATGCAGCACGGTACATAGAAACACAAGTACTGAAAAATAAGGGACAGAAAGTCAAGGTAATTATTGACTAGGAAAAGCAAGCAGTTGTATAAGGAGGGGAATAATAAAGCTGATAATGGCTAGCATTTATTGTATTCTTATTGTGTACCATGTATGACTCCAAGCCCTCATGTTTCATTTTTTTCCTCTAAAATTTTATGAGATAAATACCATTATAATTTCCATTTTACAAGTGATTTTACCAAAAATATTGATGTCACTGGAGTAAAAAGAGTAGAATAAGAACAAAACAGCATCTTTCATAGTAGGAAATCTAAATGATGTGAAAATAATGTCTCTATTATGTAGTATGTGACAGAGTCTAGACAAAGTAGCAGAAGTATGTACCAGTAGAGATGTCACAAAAAGTCAAAGGGCTGGGGGTGCAGCTCAGTGGTAGAGAACTTGCTTTGCTTAGCATCTATAAGGCCCTGGGTTCCATCCACAGCACTACAGAAAATAGGAGCTTACCCCAAAAAAATCTGAAACCTTTCAGTATGACTAATTCAATTATGGAAATTCAGTTAAGGGATTGCCCTTATATACTGCACTTCTAAAACTTTGCTTAAAAAAATGCAAGTACCTGTATTTATTATCCATTTACTACTTTTCAGTACTTGGTCATAAAAGTATAGATATCTAATATGCAAACTTTTATTCTAGGTGCAGTGGCATTGCCGAGCAAGGATGGTGGCAGGAGCCAATTTTTACATTGTTGGACGAGATCCCGCTGGCATGCCTCATCCGGAAACAGGGAAGGATCTTTATGAGCCAACCCATGGTGCCAAAGTGCTGACAATGGCCCCTGGCCTAATCACCTTGGAAATAGTTCCCTTCCGAGTTGCAGCTTACAACAAGAAGAAGAAGCGCATGGACTACTATGATTCTGAACAGTAAGTTTTGCATTCTCTGCACAAATCTGTGTAGCCCTTTGCAGTCCAAGCTGCTTCCAGGGCTTTTGAGTGTTACTTCATCTTTACAACTGTTCTGATGACTGGCTTTGTTGCACCCACTCAGAATAAGGCAACTCATCTCTCATTTAAAAGTTAGAAGTACATAAAAATTGAACCTGCTTTATTGTTCATGGTTTCAGGAATTTTGAGTTGAAAGGCAAAATTGAGAGTTCTGTATCTACCATGTCTGCTACCAACTGTTAGTACAAATTACTGCTGGTATTGAGCACATATGTATCTCCCGTTGACTGACAAAGTTATGGTAATTTCTGACTATAGGTAATTTCTATAGGTGGTGCGAGCTGTGCATTCAAAGTGGCACTGTGAAGCTGTAGAATCAGAAGTTACACATTCTAGCCCTGTCTTTGCTATGTCCTAAGTTTTAAGGGTTTTTTTTTGTCCTTATTTTCTAATCTCTGGAATGATGGCGGTGGACAAGGCAATTTCCCCCTATATCAAAATCTGTAGCTTTTTCTATGATTTGGAGTAACTACTTATTTTTATATTTCAGTAGGTGCTTATACATAAGACTTGTTTTGAGACTCATGTATAGTACACTTGCTTTTATAGTACAAATTATGATTAATACTCAGCAAGTAAAACAGATTCAGCAAGTAGAATACATTTATTAGTTTACTTTTGATCAGTGTCAACTCTCTTGACAGGCACTACTGAAAATTGACTCTGTCTTGTCTTTTTTCTGTGGCACTTTACACTGGCCCCATATTCAGGAATGATGCTGACCCTGACATGTCCTCACTTGATGTGGCCCATCTTGTCACAGTGTGACAGGAAAGAAAAAGAAACCTTTTTAAAATTAAAACAACAGTTTTCATTGCCCTCTTCAACCTATAGGCTAAAAAGCTCCTGTCTTGAATTCTAGATTTAAACCCTAAGGAATGGTTTCTAAAATAGATATACGTTTCTTTTTGGTTAATTTCTTTGAGGTAAAATAAGTTACCCAAATAAAGAAATATTATTGTTGCCATTGGAGATTGGAGAATTTGTTGATTTCTCATTTAATGACAAATAATTCTGAAGACAGTGCACATTTTAGATGGCTTTCTGAGTGATAACTATAGCTAAAAATAAAAGAAAGTCTTATGAGAGTGAATGAACCGAAAAGGTTTTCATAACTGATGCAGGCAAGTGTTAAAGAACTCCTAACCATTTCTTAGATGAGTTCCCTGAACACTGTAACCCAGATTCCAGCTTAGTTCTGAACCACCAGAATTTGCAGCTAACCAGAACATTTTTATCCTTGTACAAAATCAGATTCCAAACATCTAGGAATAAATAGTTTGACATCATGTGGGTTTTTGGTTTTTTAGAAAAACCTTTAAAAATATATGTGTAGCGGGCCACAATGATGCAAGCCTGTAATTCCAGCTACTGAGGAGGCTGAGGCAGGAGAATTGCAAGTTGAAGACCAACCTGGGCAACTTGCAAAGACTGTCTCAAAGTAAAATTTTTAAAAGGACTTGGGAACATAACTCAGTGGAAGAGTATGGGTAACGGCCAGCTTCTTGTTGGGGAATTTTCTTCCTGCCGAGGAGGGTGTAAGGTCTAGGATAATTAGTGAAGAACAAATGACAGAGTCTGAAATATATTTTCAAAAGCAGAGGCCCTGATAAATCCAGTCCACATGGGAGCTGGAACTAGACAAAAGAAAAATGGCTCCAGTAGTTCATTTAAGGGAGGATATCAAAGGTGGCGATAAGCTTTCTAAGGCAGTCTTGCTTCCTGATGTCTTGCTAAGCTGATGTCAGGTTAATTAGCATCTTGTCAGGTCACACCCATCTCAGGTGCTGTGTGGGACTTGACAGATTGGAACAGGAATTCACAATGTCTCTGGGCAGTCGCACACAGAGGAAATGTCCACTGGTAGTTCCCAGACACCAGATGTTTCTATTCCCTAGGCTACGATACACGGTGGCTCACACACAGCATGGCTGGCTTGCGACAGAAGAGTGCCTTCCTAGCCTGTATGAGGTCCTGAGCTCATTCTCTAGTACTGCCACCCCAAAAGTGTATATATGCATGCATGCATGTATATTTATATACACATACTGTAGTTTCACTAAAAATAATAGCCTTAAAAGTGTATGCTGAAGGTTATAAATTGACTTTTTCTACCAAGGGGATGCCTCTTTTGAAGCTTTAAAAGGAAGAATTACAAGAAAAATGAAAGCAATTATAGTAAACTTTGAACTGCATTGTCACATAAGATTATTGAAACCTTAAAATAAAAATTATAAAGGAGGATTAAAAGGCTTCAGGTCCTGTCCTGCCCTTTCATGGTTAACTTTATGTAGGCCACAATCAAACATTCTAATTTACTTAGTCCATGGGGAGGTCTACCCATTGGTAATTCTTTTAAAAGGCTCCCACCTAACCCCCAGAGGAAGGGTAGTAGCACCTTCCTATAGTCTATGGTACACTCAGTGTCAGAAGTGGACTGCTGGGATAGAGTGTTTTTGGTATCTCACCCAACACACAGATTATTTGTTTAGGCTGTGTACAAGCGGTTATGAATGTCAGCTTGTTCTCAGAGTTGTGATTTACTGAATTAATTCACTCACATAGTGGCAAGGGAGAGCAATGAAGAGAATCATACTGCCAGTGGCTAAACATGTCAAACTTAGGTGCATTTCTGTTTTGTTGTGTTAAGAAAACAAAACTAACCTCAAAAAAAGTTGAGCTTTTCTTTCACACTTCTTGTGCCGACATGTTTCATTTCTGTGGTCCCTTTGCATCGTCAGCTAATTTAATCACACGCAGGACCCTAGAATCCATCTGTATGTGGTTGACTGATGTGCTGGTAAGCCCTTGATAACTTTGATGTTTGGTTAAATCTGTGTAGTATTGTTTTAAGTCTTTCTTTTAATCATTCAAAAAGCTAAATAATTACATCAGTTCTCATAAGATTTTCCAAAGATGAATTCTATATTAGTTGCATGAGTGGCTCATTTCCTTGGAAATTTTTTTTTTTTTTGGTTACTAAATCTTAATAAGTTGTAACTTGGGAAGCTTTAAAACTCCCTTCATTTTCTAACTTTTTATATTTGTGTTCAAATATAATTAAGTTGATGGGAATATGTTGGAAAGTGATTAAAATTTTGTGGAAAGGCGATAGTCTTTGATGTAGTGAGAAAACACAGTTATTAATTATGCACATATGAGGTTGCCTTAAGTTTGATGAATGGTCATTAGTCAATGCCAGCTTTTATGTAATTAATAATTTTGCAGCTTTTGATTTGATTAAATACCAGTGTAAGACAAGGCTTAGGAGAAAAAAAAAATCATGAAGATTTCAGGCAAGATATTATTGATAGGAATTGCGATAAAAATCATGTGTTTATATTTAGAAAGTTAAGAAGGTTCATATTAGCTAAAATAGTCACTCAAGGAAATTTAGTTTTGGGACTGCTGACATTACAAACATAGAAATCATTCACTTTTCTTATTTGTATTTTTTTCTCTTTTGAGAAAGTAAACATTTGTATTTGAATAGATAAGTGGACATTTATTTATATGATTAAGTGCCCATGAATGAAAGTGTCTTGTGGAAAGGGAGGGATAAGTGGGTGTGAATGTTCATTGTCTGGTATGTTTATGTTTCCAAAAGAGTATTTCTTTCAAATTTTGAATGCATGTCCTGTTAGTGACATTTTAAAAAACACTCTACTTATGTGTGTCCTTCAGGGCATTTTTAGATCTTCCTTTTATAACTTTTCTAGGAGACTTTCTATGCCATGACTCTAAACATACAAGTCACTGTTTCCCAGCTGCTTATAGTACTAGTTTTCTATTGCTAAAGTAACACATTATCACTAACTTAGTGGCTTAAGACACTACCAGTTTATTCTCTTGCATTTCTTTAGCGCAGATGACTGGGTAAGCTTGCTTGAGTTCTCTGGCTGCACTGGCCTCTTATATGATAGCTCTGAAAAGGATCCATTTCCATGTTGGTCCTTGTTAGCAGAATTCAATTCTTTATAGCTCGAGGATTGATATCCCTATCCTCTTACTAGCTGTTGCCTGAGGATTGCTGCCTGAGGATTGCTCCCTATGTCTAGAGGTCAAGTTCGGTCCTTCCTTGTGGACCCCTCCATCTCAGTAGTAGAATCTCCCTCATTCATGGAATCTGTCTCATGCTTCAGATTTCTCTGGCTTCTGTTTTGCTACTAACTGAATTCTTTTTCTTTTTTCATTTAAAGGTCTTAAGTGATAAGGTTAGACCTACCAAATAATATTATTTTGGTCATGCAGCAAGGGATCATGGTAAACACTGGGGGCAAAGGTCATTTGGGCCATCTTTGAATTTTTCCTATCATAAGAGTAGATATTTCAGCATAGAGTTCTAGGTGTTATATAAAATGCTCAGAACCAGTACTACCTTTACTCTCATAATATTTCTGAATCCTGAATTTCTCTTAGTTATTGTTCTTCCTGTTACATAGAACTGTAAAGTCACTTTTCCTTTCAGCTCACTCTTTACCTCCAAGTCTGGTGTCAGTCATTGAAATACTTCTTGTGTGAATCCTTTTCTTTCCCTTTCCTGCCACAGTTTTTGTAATACACAGGTCTTTTAGAGCATAGAGGACTGTGTTTTCTGTTGATGCATAAAGGACTTTGGTTTTGTTAGTTGTACTGTTTCTTTTGTGGAAGTCTGATTGTTACTGCATGAGTTTACAGATTTTATCCTGTATTTGTAGGTTTTGAACATATTTTATTATGGGAATTACCATTAAAAGATAAGACCTGATTTAAAATCTATGATCTTCTATGTTTTAGCATACATTTATATCATAACTAGGGATAGCATTACTATGTATATTTTTGAAAATCATATGATTTATTTTTACCCTCTCTTACTTGGAATCAATAGATTATATTGAAATGGTATAAAACGTTGACTTTGCTATGCACTATTCCTT